GTGATAGTTGGATGACTACACCTGATTAGAAAACAATAGTTCATTGCTGCTCTACAAGAAACAGTTCTTAAGACAGGGTAAGGGTTACAGAATAAAGTCTTATTTTTTTTTAGAAAGGTTTATCTTTCATTTAGAGATCTAAACCCAAGAAGGATTCAATAAATTATAAACTATTTCAACGTATTCTTCCATTACTGTTTCTTAACGCAATTCTTTGTTCTTCAATGTAAAAATCTGTAGATTTACTATTTCATTCCAGGAATCTCATTTATCTGTTTGAATCAATTCTATTTACAGTATGTTTATAAAAGGCAGGTATTTTATATGTCTAAATATACACACAGACATACATATATTTTCTATTGTTGTGAGGTGTCATCGAGTAAAGCTCATAGAGACCCTATGAACAACAGATCTGAACCCTGTTCTATCCTGTGCCATCTTCACACTTCCTGACATACTAGTGACCATGGCAGCATTGTGTCAATTCTTCTGATTGAGGGTCTTCCTCTCTTGCTAACCCTCCACCTATCCAGGCACGATTTTCCTCTCCAAGGAACAGCCCATCCTAGCAACATGCTTAAAGTCTCTGAGACAAAGCTTGTCAACTTTGCTTCCTAGGAGTCCTCTGACTGCAATTTCTTCAAGCCATATTTGTTCTTTTGGCAGACCATGGGATATTCAGTATTCTGCTCCAACAGCACAGCTAAAAGGTGTCAATTCTTCTGTCATTCTGCTCTGGCCCCCTTGCTGAGGCAGACCCGGTTTAGACCTTCGCAACCCTTCTACTTTCCCTGACTCCAGTTCAGTGATGCTTCTGGAGAGCAGTAACGATCCATCATCTAGCTGTCTCATTCTGGCTCTATGATTATAAGAGCAGTTTTCAAACCCACTGTGAATCTTGACAAACTCTGAGGATCTTTCTTTATATGACAACACAGACTGTTTACTGCAATTAGAAAGCTATTAATAAGCAAACAAAAAGCATTCTTTGAGGGAAAAACATATTTAGAAGCAGGAAGTCAAGTAACTGTTATTTTTTTGTATAATTAGAACAGTGTATTACTGCTCAAACAGAAATATTTTACCCTCAAATATATACGGTCTCTATTTTATATTTTCACTATTTTTAAGTATCAAATTCCTAGGCTCAATCATCAGAATTGTTAGAGCAGCAATTATAGTATCTATTCCTGCAAACAGATAATAAACTTTGATTTTTAAAAGCTTATATTCATTCATTCAAAAGGCTGCTCGGAATGACAAAGCAAAATACTACAATGAAATGTGCGAGGAGCTAGAGTCAGAAAATCAAAAGGGCCGAACTCGCTCAGCATTTCTTAAGCTCAAGGAACTGAAGAACAGATTCAAACCTAGAGTTGCTGTAATCAAGGATGCTTTGGGCAGAATATTAAATGATCCAGGAAGTATTAAAAGAAGATGGAAGGATTATACGGAGTCATTATATAGAAAGCAATTGGCAGATACAGAGGAATTTAAAGAAATAACATATGAGCAAGAGCCTATGGTGATGAAGGAAGAAGTTCAAGCTGCTTTGAAGGAAATAGCAAAAAATAAGGCCCCAGGAATAGATGGTATACCAACTGAAGTATTTCAGATAACAGATGTTGCCCTGGATGTGCTCACCAAGTTGTGCCAAGAAATCTGGAGAACAACCACTTGGCCAACTGACTGGAAGAGATCTATATTTGTTCCCATTCCAAAGAAAGGTCACCCAACTGAGTGTGGAAACTACAGAACAGTGTCATTGATTTCACATGCAAGCAAGATTCTACTGAAGATCATCCAAAAACGATTAGAACAGCACATCAGCAGAGAACTGCCGGAAGTCCAGGCTGGGTTTAGAAGGGGTCGTGGTACTAGGGATATCGTTGCTGATGTTAGATGGATCTTGGCTGAAAGCAGAGAATACCAGAAGAATGTCTATCTGTGTTTCATTGATTATGCAAAGGCATTTGACTGTGTGGATCATAACAAACTGTGGCTGACTCTGAGAAGAATGGGAATCCCAGAACATTTAATTGTGCTAATGCGAAACCTGTACTTGGATCAAGAGGCAGTAGTCAGAACAGAGCAGGGTAACACTGCATGGTTCAAAACTGGGAAGGGTGTACGCCAGGGATGCATCCTGTCTCCATACCTTTTCAACATGTATGCAGAGCATATTATCCGAGAAGTTGGGCTCTATGAGGAGAATTGTGGCATCAGGATTGGTGGAAGATGTATTAACAATCTGCGTTATGCAGATGACACAACCCTGCTTACTGAAACTGAGGAGGACCTCATGCACTTGCTGCGAAGGGTCAAGGACTGCAGCCTTCAGTATGGACTGAGGCTCAATGTCAAGAGGACAAAGATTCTCGCCACTGGACCAATTGGCAGCGTCAGGATGGATGACGAAGAGATTGAGAGTGTTCACAGCTTCAGTTTGCTCAGCTCCACGGTCAACACTCTTGGAACCAGCAGTCAGGAAATCAAAAAACATTGTGATGGGAAAGTCTGCTGTTAGGGACCTCTCTAAGGTACTCAGGAGCAACAGTGTCTCTCTGGAGACTAAGGTGCGCCTGATACAGGCCATGGTCTTTGCAATTGCTTGTTATGCATCAGAGAGTTGGACAATGACTAGGGAGGACAGAAGGAGAGTGGATGCTTTTGAGCTGTGGTGCTGGAGAAGGGTACTGAATGTACCATGGACTGCCAGGAAAACAAACAGATTCATCTTGGGGAGGATTAAACCAAGCTACTCCTTGGAGGCAAGGATTCTGGGGCTTCGTCTGACATACTTTGGACATGTTGCCAGGAGGGAAGGGTCCTTGGAGAGGGACATCATGCTTGGGAGGGTGGAGGGACGGCGCAGGAGGGGAAGACCCTCTATGAGATGGATCGATTCAGTGACTGGGGTAATCGGGATGGGTGTGTCAGAGGCAGTGCGGTTGGCGCAGGATAGAGCAGGGTTTAGGGCTGTTGTGCATAGGGTCGCTATGAGTCAGAAACGACTCGACGGCACATAACAACAACAACAACAACATATTCATTCTATTCAGAATCAGTGAAATGTTTAACTTATTATTCTTACGCCACTAGTCTAATTTGGGAATGCTACACAAACTGACAGCATCAAGCTTCGACGCATTCTCTATTGCTTAGTCTTGACGTCAGAGGTCCCCTATTAACTGATCAAGGAACTAACAGCAAACAGCTGGTGCTCTGTGGCGGCCAACCGAAGCACCACCATTTGACCACCCGGAGCCTCCGAGCTGCTGGTGCTGCCCAGCAGCTGCTCTCACTAACAGCTGGGCACACTCACATGCTTCATTTGGCACAAAAGCAAATGTGTCCATCTCCTAGCCTTAACTGAGCTTAGCTTCCCTACAAACGGCTTGTCTTTTCAGGAATTGATATTTTCTTATCAGGGTAAGATATTTTAGTCATATGTATCAAACAACTACATCTTCTATGATCACAGGGAGCAATGGCTAGAGACAGTTGCAGAGCATAAACCAAAATTTTCACTTTTCAATAGAAAAAGAGGCAAAGAGGAGATGGGCTGTAAGGAAGGCTTTCAAACTTCATCTAAATCTTGACGTTCCAGTTATACCCTGAGACACGAAAACTCTGACACTGAGCTTTGAGGGACTCCAGAACAATGTAATCTCAAACTCCCACTTGTGTCTCTTTAAGCATGGTTAAAACTTTGGTTTCCAATTTCACAATCAGGGTAGTGCTGACACGAAGAGAAGTGAGGTGAAGGAGACTGGAACTAAGTACAACCTGTGTGTCAACTATATTTGCAATGCTTTATGTCTGAAGTAGGTGACTAGCTCATCAGTTTTTAAAAACAGTACTTTTCTAAATGTACATTTCTAAATGTCTACAACAATCCACACATTTACAGAAGATTCTCAAATGACTGCCTCAGTGTAAAACACTTTATCTGTACTAACTTTACACTGTTCCTTCTATATTTTGTGGAATAGTTATGTACATTAAAAAAAGCAAGCTCTCTGTGAAAAAGATAAACTCGGAAGTTCGTTTCAAATAGTAGAGAGAACATTTGGCTTAAGGATGTGACGCTAATTCCTAAAGAATTATACACGTGTAACACATGAGGTTGTCTTGTAAATGGAAGAAATTGGAAATTTTTAGAGAGAGATATTCATTCATTGCCATCCAGTTGGAACCAACTCACAGCTGCCTTCCAGTGAGATTTTGAAGGCTGTAAACGGCAACAGAGGAGATGGCCCATATTTCCCCATGGAGCCATTCGAACCATCAGAGAAGTTCCACTTTTGTGTCAGCATTGCCACTCTCTGTGAACTACATCACCAGAGCTCAGACATTTTTATTTCCATTTATATATATATGTGTGTGTGTGTGTGTGTGTGTGTGTATATATATATATATATATATATATATATATATATAATTATTAATGATAGTCTTAAAATTTTTTAAGGAAAAAATCAGTGTACATTATACCTTAATTATGCATGGAAGTAGTGTATACAATTCTATGGTCCTTTACAATTTACTGAGAGCTTTCACATATGTCATGACAGGCTTGACACAGTTAACATTAGTTTCTATTATCTTATAGATGACACAGCCGAAGCTCAGAAAAGTGAAGTGATTTTCTTCAGGCCCTCACAAGTAGTAAATCATCTTTTAAGCTGGCCTGGAGCTCTGGGGACCTAGTGGGTCAAGTGTTGTGCTGGTAATCCACAGGCATGCAGAGAGAATCCACCAGCTGCTCATCTGGAGAAAGAGAGGTAATCTCCACCCATGTGATTTACAGCTTCTAAAAACTAACTGGAGGGTCAGCTATGAGTCAGCTCTGACTTGACAGTAATGAGGGAGGAAGTAATTGAGTGTGTGTGAGAGAGAGAAAGACAGACAAGGATGCACAGTATTGTATATATAATCCAATGCTGTCAGTTATGTGTTGTTTTTTTTTTAAAGTCAAATCAATGAATTCTCACCTGGTGATTCTGCAAGGTGCTCTTGCTTCTCTTCTCTGTCCTGAAACTGAATTAAATGTGACCACAAAGCTGATTTTCCCTGGAAGTAAAAGGAATAAAATTTTTTATTTCAAAAGGATTTCTCCTGCACATCCTCATCCCTATGCTTTCACTCTATTTGATGGGGGGAGGAGGTGAAGAAAATTGTAAGAATCTGTTCTCAGAAACAATGTTTTTGAATTTTGTAAATAAACTAGTATTTTAGAAAAAGTCAACTTGGGGAGAGAGGAGGGAGAGAGAGGGGATAAAAGGCATGAATGAAAATCTAACTTTTCTGTAAACTTGTTAAAACAAAAATAAAAAAAAAAAATTTAATTAAAAAAATGATTTCTCATCAAAGCTACTCATGTTATATATTAATGTTCACTACAGCAATATTTTCAATAGCCAAAAAGTAGAAACAGCCTTAATGTCCAACAGAAGAATAAATAAGAAGCAAAATATGGTATATATATATAAAGTGTAAAACTGCTTCTATAAGGAGAAATAAGAGTTTTTAGATAATACTGTAACACAAATGAATCTTTAAAACATTACTGGGTAAATGAACTGAGTCATACAATGATTGATGAATATTATACTAGCTCACTTCTATTAAGTGTACAGAGAACAAAGCTTCTAAGTGGGCACCAAGGGTGGACAGGACGAAGTGTTTAGAACACACTGTGCTTCTGTTATGGGTGAGGGGAAAAAATCTGGGAAGAGATTCTGAGTGTTGGCTGAAAAACAGTGAGAATAGGTAATATCACTAACTGGACACATAAAGATTGATGAAATGGCATATGTTTTGCTAGATATGTTTCTCATCTGGAAAATTAAAATGCCCGCTTAGAAACCTGGTAACCCAAACTCGTCTGTGTGACACCCTGAGCATCTACCTCACTGCTGTGTTATAAAGGTCATCTTCCACCTCACTGAGAGACTGCAGGGGTCTGGGGAAGGAGAGACCTCAGCAAAAGGCCCATGTACAAGAGTGAGCTCCGTGATTACTCCGCTGTATGCCATTCAAGCTGTCTACACTAACAGCACTATTAACCACTGAACTAAAAAGCTCCAGCAATGCAGGATGTGCTTGTGTACAACCAGCTGCTAATTGTTTGGGTATATGAACTGACAGTAGGGCAAGAAAAATAAGACGAGAGGAGGAAAGAGTCAAGAGGAGTAACAAAATACACATGAACCAGAGAGATGGGGATAAATCTGAAGTGGAGACTAGAGAAACAAAAGCAAAGGTAACACCTGAATTATTTTCCACTCTGAATGGAAATAAGGTGAAAACTCAAGGTAACAAAATAGTAAAGAAATGTTAATTCTGGCTAAAGGGTTTCCCCTTAGACAGTGAAAAAGCACACTGAGCAGAGTGGAAAGTATAGGGGATACAGCCTCTGTAGAGAAATGTGTTTCCTTTTATTCTGTGTTGCGTTTACCAGGAAAGATAAAAAAAAAAAAAGTCCCACTTATTAGCCACAGGTTATGTTTTCCGTTTCTTGAATTAAAATTCTTATTGTCTGTGACTAAGGAATGCATTACCCAATGTTTACATCTTTTTTATGATTTTCTTTTCTCCATGTTTACTCCTTACCAGGGTTCCTAACTGGCCATGTCACCTGGGCCTCTTGAAGCCTTTTACCTGCTTGATCTGCAGGCCGTGGCTCCATATCCTTTCCAGCAGGTCACAGAGGCTGGCGATCAAGGTGTTCTCCTCTAGGCCGGTTATGTTTGCTTCTCCATGACCCAGCTCTACTGCTTCATGTCCCATCTTCTCCACCAACATGCGTTTTGTCTGAAAACACCATGTGTGGTCACAAACATTATCCCAGGAGTGAAACCCCAAACCAACTTGTCAATTATTGGATTAGGGAACTTGGGATCTCCTCATTGTACTTCTAATGCAGAGTTTTAATCACCCTGGGAAAAGTGTCTTAATCTTTGCAATGAACTAACTGAAGTACTATCATTTACCTACTATTTTGTAAAGGAAATAGAGGGCCACTAAAAAGAGAAGGGAGCTCTGGTGGCTGAGCTGTAAGGAGATTCACTGTCAAGCCACAGGTACGTGGTTCGAATCCATCAGGGGCTCTGCAAGAGAAGGATGGGAAATCTCCTCCTATGCAATTTACTGCTTCGTAAAGTTGGTTCTGACTCAATGGCACACAACACCTACAACCAAAGAAGATAATATTTGTAAAGAGTCCTCATGCTGAAAAAAATGCCAGGTGTAACAATATTCACATTACTGACTTGGCTTTGCTGTTGTTAGGCACTGCTGAGTTGGCTTTGATCCACAGAGGGCCTCCACACAACCAAACAAAACCCAGCCTGAGCCTGTGCCATCCTCACAGCCTCTGCTGTGCCTAAACTCATTGTTGTAGGCACTGTGCCAGTTCATTTCATTGAACGTCTTCCTTGTTTTTGTTTATCCACTGTGGAATAACACCAGGTAAAGAAAATTAATCTGGAGGATGGGTGGGGTGAGGGGTGGGGTGGTTATCATAGGGTCACACAATTCGATGGGTGGAGGGAGGGCGGGTAAAGGAAAGGGGAAAGATCTGGTGTGAAAACAATGTATATGAACTTTGTAAGTAAACCAGTATAAAATAAACATTTTATTTTAAATAAAAACACACATCCCCCAAAAAACACCCCAAACAACACGCTCTGCTTTCCCACTGCTTTCAGCATGCTAAAGATATCTGGGATAAATTTCAGATGCATTTAGGTAAAACCATAATTAATAGGACAAGCATTAGCTTGGGGGGGGGAGTTTTCTAATTTGTGAGTATTTAGACCTCTTTTTTCCTTCCTCTTTTCTCTCTTCCGTGCTCATGAGAATGCACCAGAAAGTAAAAAGGAAATGGAAATCAGTTTGAAATAAGTCAATTTGCATTAACCTTGGCAGCTTCTTCTTCTTAAAAAAAAAGTCTCATAAAATGTAAAGTGAGATAGTATCTAGCTGCTTTAGTAAAATTAGGGAACATGTCTGTGTGATTCACCACTCCAACCTGATGGTGAAATAGTTTATTTATTATGTACTCAAGCAGTAAATGTCAGATACAAAATTACTTGTTAAAATGCTATTTTACATTTTGTCACTATATACTGCTACCTCCAATAAACAGGTATCTGAGAAGAGACTGCTGTGCAACAGATACTAATAGAAGAGACACAGAAAATGTGTAGGCTCTTATATAAGATGAAAACCTTCTTGACATAGCTTATGACTAGGACTTCAACAAGAGGAGACGAGTGATGGGAAAAGTGAGAAAAAGCCACAGCTCCCGTGTCCCTGAATCTATGGTCAATAAAGTCCATGTAGGGCATGTACTCAGGAAGAGGGCACCGGAGGTCTAACGCACAGGAAAAAGAACTTCTTCTGGGGAAGCAACATGCTCAGATTGGACTTAACACTGCTCATCTTAGTCCCACAATGATGCAAACACAAAGGCACCCAGGTGCCTTACAGCATTAATACATACCTTCATTCTACATTCTTTTAATAAACCTTCTACAAACTTCCAGTTGGTCTGTGCAATCACAGCAGGAGACAGGTCTGACAATTTGGGTTGTCTCAGGTTTTTTCCTAAACTTCGAGCCTCTTGCATGTATTTCTGGAAAAGTAAAGAACATTTTTAATGCATAGATATCAGATACTATTTACATTAACATAAGCTTTCATAAACAAGCACAAAAACAAAACCAGGTGCGAAAAGGCATTTAGTGAGAAGTGTATTTGTGCAGTAAGTAAAAATTTCCTCACCAAAATGCAAAGGATGCACACATACCTTACCCACAATCTATTAAGTTCCTGTGAAAATGAGAGTGACAAAACCCCTACCAGGTTAGAATTCATTCAAAACAAGATACAGGGTAAACATGTTTAAATGCACATGACAGATTTACAGTTAATATCGAATGAAGTTTCATCTTAGTTTAGTGCTTGACTGTGAACACCCAAGACTGCAATTAGGTGAGACTATGGTTGTGGCAAAAATTTAGGTGGCTAGATTACAAGCTTCTGCTGAAACTAGTTCTCAGATCACTGGTTTCTGCCACTTTTTGCCCCACAGACTCCCTATGTATTGGGCAGTGTGCTCTTCAACCCAACACTTTACTCATGTTACAATATTAAAACCAGCAGCTCTAGAATATGGTTGTAACTAGTTTTGAGACTTTAACTAACCCTTGTGCACTGCAGAATATTTGTAAAATGGGCATAAAACATGTCCATTTACTTTACCAAAAAAGGCTCATGATGGAAATCAAGATATGCTCCAGATGTAGGATGCCTCTAATTTTTGTGATGTTTAACTTTTTTGTTTTGTTTTACTATCAAAAGATGGGTTCACAGAATTACATTCGGAGTCTGTGATAGCCCTGAGTGAACTGCAGAAACTCAGCTCAATAGTCTTTGAAATTTGGTTAGTAAATTTCCATGGGGTGGGGGGAATCAATATACTTTCCTTTCTATGCTAACTGTAAAACCTCATCTATACAACTTGTTTGCTTCAGAGTAGAATCCCCAAATAGTCCAAGCATCTTGGTACCATATTTAGAGACTGTTGTTGGGCGCTATCAAGCCAATTCCAACTCACAGTGACCCCATGTCACAAGCTGAACTGTCCCATAAGGCATTGTAGGCTGTAATCATTAGGAGAGCAGTTCACTTGGTCTTTCTCTCGTGGAGTAGCAAGGCAAGTTCAAACCACCAACCTTTTGGTTAATGGCCTAACCATTTGTACTACTTACACTGAGAGACCAACTTCTTTAAAATGGTAAAGTTAGAAGTTTTATTAGAGCATACTCTCCCAGCAAATATGTGAAACTTTGTGTGTTTTGCAGGGAGAACTTGATATTTTAAGAGTGGATGTGTAAAATTCTTTGTCCTTTAAATAAAAAGTAGATTATATATTTTACTTTAGGAAGAAAAGAAGTCTGCTGAATTTTGTACAGATGAAAAAAAAATCCCAACGATTAAGACCTCTACTAATCAGTGTTACCCGCTACCCAATGTTCTGGATGAACAGCAGGATTGGATCTCTTTCTGTTCCAATTTATAAGATTGCAAGGACAGCTTTGAAAAGCAAATGGACTCTGCCAACCATTTAGTGTCTATAACACTTATGTCTACTTTCAAGGAGCTCTAGTGCACCAAACATTGGGCTGCTAACCAACTGTTCAATAGTTTAATCCACCTTTCATTTCATGAAAGAATAATGATGCAGTCTGTTCCTGTACAGATTTACAGTCTTGGAAACTGCAGTTTTCTAAACTCTTTCTTTTATGTTGGAATCAACTCAACTGCCATGGATGGCACGCATACTTCTTTTAAATTTTTTTAATCTTATTTTTTGGTGTGTGTGTACAGTCAAATCAGATCTGACTAGTATAGGAGGAGATTGCCCCTCTTTCTACATCAAAGCATCTGGTGGATTCAAACCGTGTACCTGTGGGATTGCAGTGCAGCTTCATGCCACTAGGCCACCAGAGCTGCTTGCATACTTTCTTCTGATTCCAATCATTTTTTTAGAAGGTTAAGAAAAGAGAAAATTGAGGAGGGGTAACTCCCTCCTATAGGGAAATGAAATGTAATAAAGCCAATGGTAACCTATTGAGTATTAGTTTTCAGGTAAGTAAAATTAAGAAATTAGAAGTATTATAAAAATCAACCTGAGATACAAAGTAGGGTCCCTACGTTAGATCTATAATATTTTCATTTCTTATAGCTTCAAGTTATGCTAACTTTACTTGAAAATTATAAAAACAAATGTTAACTGGGTTTTATTTTCTTCTTATCTTCTGAACCTGTGCAAAGAAAGAATGTAAGAGGAACCACTATAAAACTTAAGACTTAAGGGAGGGGGAAAAAACTAGCTTGGGGGCTAGGATTTTTAAGCTCTCTCTCACATACTTTGGGCATGTGACCAGGAAAGACCAGTCCTTGGACAAGGCCATCATGCTTGGAAGGGTTGAGGGACCGCACAGGAGAGGAAGACCCCGGATGAAAAGGACTGATACAGTGATTGGAGCAATAGGGTTGGTGTGTCAGAACTAGTGAGACTGGCTCAGAACATGGAAAGGTTCTGCCGTCCATAGGGTCACTAAGGATTGCAGGTGACTTGATGGCACATAGTATTAAACTTGATTTATGAATAAATACACTGGCTAGAGGAAAAAAGAATGAGGCTCATAGGTAAAAGCTGGGATGAAAACTCTAGCAGTTCTCTTTTTGCTGAATATATGAATAAACAACTTTAAAAAGTAACTAGATTAAAATTAAAATGTGTCAAAAGTTTACATTCTATTTTATAAATGAATAGGTATGCTGCTCTTAACCTCTTAATGGCCATATCTGTTGCACCCCTACTGCACACAGGTGCAAAAAACCTTGTGCAAAATCTTCTAAGGAAGCCTGCTGGGGCCACAGAACCAGTAATATTTAGAGTGTGGCACAAGCCCATGCCACAAAGCAACAGGTGAGAATGCCTTATGCCCTGGTATATCAAAATCAGAGCAAAGCTTTAAAAAATCTGAGTTGCTCTGAGGCAGATGGAGGAAAAGGTGTATTGTAAGATGAAAAATGGAAATGAGAAACTTTTCACAAGATGTTTTTATAACAATGTATGTTTCCCTACAGAGGGAAGCAACTCAGATTTATTCTGAAGTTTCTATGATACTTGTCTTCATTTCTGTCAAAAACAAAAGCAGTGAGCCATCGGAAACTACCTTTGAAAAGGTATCCTATTGCTCAATACATAAAGAACTAATGGTTCTTTAATAACAGTCTCTAAATGAATTTTCTAATAAACCCCTTATTTCTTTAACTAGGAATGACTTATGAATACTATTATAAAGTTAACTAATTTTATGAAATAGGTTGTAATGGAAAAAATGTCCACGAATCTCAAGTTATTCTCGCCCTGAGGTAAATAGTCTTTTAGTGCAACTTGGCATGTAGTATTAGTGAGAGGAATATGAACCTGGAAGGCAGGAGTCCTAGCCTGAGACTTTAGTGACATGATACCAAGCTGGAGAAAATAACTACAATGTCTCCTCTTAGAACTAAGATTCCATGGCTACTGACTGGATATTCTGGCCACGTTACACAGACTACAAAGGATAAATGAAAATGTTGTGGAGATAAAAATTCAACAAAAGAACAGTAATTTGAAGATAAATTACTTCTTCAAACTTTTCTTTACAACTTACACTGCACACACAATCACAAAAAGGTATCAAATACAAGAGGAAGTGGAGTTATGAAGACAGTAAGGAAGCACATCACAAGGTGATATGAGGCAGTCTAGACCTACGTGTATTCACACATGTGTAAAATTCAAGTAACACAAAGACAAGATTCAGGAACATCTGGAAAAGCACTTTCAGGCAAAGAACATACCAGGCAGCACTCAGAGAAGGATTTTTTAGGAGGTCGTGCGGGAGGAGGTGGGCCCTGATCCCACTCCCAGAATGCCATGGAGTTCTGACAGACCAAGAGTTTCCCGGAAGGCTAAGAGGGTGGAGATGTGCCAATGACAGAGAAGCAAAAAAGAAAGGGACAGGGAGAAAGAAACAAGCAAAACAAGCATGCATATGATAAAGTTACAGCAAATAGGGAGGGAAGAGAACATGGCAGCACAAAGAAAGGCACTGAACAGGTTATGTTTTGGTTCTCAAGAAAATGCTTAAAATCATACAAATGGATGAATACATTAACAAAAACATCAAATATTTGAAATGACATTTTCTGCTTTATTTCTACACATTTGAGCTTCAAAAAATTGTTAAAAATATCTTGTGACTGCATTTTTCTTTTGGCCACAAATAAAATGTAGCTATAAGTATTCAAATATATAATTACACTTTTATTTTCAAATAGTACAAATAAAGCATCTTATAAAGGATGATCTTAACCTAAAGAAAAGTTTTCAAAATACGTTTCCAAGTGATCAGAAAGTCAAGAACAAAGAACAGTTAAATATATTTTCAGAAAAATAAAAGACATGTATCAGTTTGAAGAATAGTTTAATCATAATAAGTTACCTAAATAGGCTGATGTTAATGCTTAAATTATGCAGCATTCAAAAACGTTTATGAAATGTGCTGTGGTACACAGAAAGACCTGTTTCAGATGTGCTGAAATGAAATTGACAAAAGAGGTGTTCTCTGCGATAGGCCAGTAAAAAAGAGACTCATAATTTAAAATACAATGGGGTCATATTTTTTAAAAAAGGGAAGCTACACAAGGACAGAACACCGGCTGGAGTAAGCAAGCCCAGGTCATGGCTTTCGATGTCAAGGCCTCCTAGGAAGGCAGGCCACATACCTCCCTCAAGTCATTGTCAAGTCCAATGTGCTCAGAGTGCTGGCGAAGGCGTTCCTTCCTGCGCTGCGTGGTGGCACTCCGACTTACCCACCGACTGAAAAACAAACACATCAAAGAAGGTGCAAGTTAAAACACATAATGAAGTCACTTTTATTAAAAACAAAAAGAAATGGGGGGTGTTGGAGAACAGGAAAAGAGTGGATGGCTAATGAACACTGCACTGAAATAGGTGAATGAAAGGACTGGATGATTAGGCGTTATGTATATACGACAATTAACAATATGGAACGAGATGTGCATTACAAAGTGAACTGGGGGAAGAGAAGTGAGGAAAGATATGTATCAATGAATGAATGAACCTTTCTATAAACTTTCACTAAAAACACAATTAAAAAGACAAAACAAACAGAAAGAATGACCTGTTCAGCACAAAAGAACGACAGAATTTACTGCTTTGTTCTTTGCATTTGTGAGAGCTTTACTAAGCTATGATTCACATATCCTATAATTTAGCCATTTAAAGTATTTAAGTCTACGGTGTTTTTACTATATTAACAGTTGTACAACTATCACCACTTCAATAAAGTTTTTTTAAATTGAGGTTCGAAAACTGCACAGTTGCTATTAAACTTTTGTCAGATCTTAGACAAGTTAGTTCTTGATTATACTAGGAAGTCTTGACTTGCTCAAAATATTAGGAGAGAATATTCCTTTAACACAAAGGAGAATATTCTTAAAACCTATGTAAGTATGTTTTTGTTATTGCTATGTGCCATTAAGTCAGAACCAACTCATAGCTGACTCTCCAGCAGGTTTTTAAAGGTAATAAATTTCACAGGAGGTCACCCATCCTTCTCCCACAGTGTAGATGGTGGGTTCACACTGTGTGCCTTTGGGATCACAGCACAACTTCTTACCACTAGGCCACCCGAGTTCCCTTATATAAGTACTTAATGCTAAAATTCAATAATTCTATGCTATGAATTTGGAGAATATTCTCCATTGTGTGCCCTAATGCGTAAAAAGTCGTACTACCAACCCAAAGTCAGATGGATTAAACCCACCGGCTGTTCCACAGAAGGAAGATGGGCAATCTTCTCCCATGCAATTTACAGTCTGAGAAATCCAATGGAGGATCAGCTATGAGTCAGTTCCGATTTGACAGCCATGAGTTGAGTGGTACAAAGTCAATGAACAAAACTCATTCGGGGTTCTATATACTAGCAATGAAAAAACTTAAAGGAAAATTAAGGAAACAATTCCATTTTATAGTAGCATCTAAGAGAAAAAGATAGCTCACAATAAATCTAACCAGTGATGTGAAGGACTTAGACAATGACAACTATAAAGTATTACCGAAAGGTTACAGATTTAAATAAGAAGAAAAATAAAATACAAACTCTTTTCAATGGTCTATAAAACAATGGCTAAGCCTCAACTCCTCCCTCTGACGTTTAATGATACCATTTTCTTCTAACAGACCAGGTTCTGCTTTTAAATTCTTAAAATCAGTGCTAGTTTCTGACTCTTTGCTTTCCAACAATAATGGTTCAACAATTAGTTAAAAATATCTAACTAACAGTGAGTGACTCCATGCAGCAGAATAGAAATGCCCTACAAAGTTTTCTTGGCCATAATTCTTTATGTAATAGATGCCAAGTCTTCTTCACACAAAGTGGCTGGGTAAGTCTGAATTGCCAACCATCTGGTTAGTAGCTAAGACTTAACCATCACAGGATGGTACCAGGGCTCCTTCTATGGTGCCTTATACAGAAAGGTCTGTCCTAAGTGCTATATGGGACTTAAAAGAAATACTACTGCCTTTCAGCATTTAAATGTTCCTGAAATTAGGACAAGTCTTTTAATCCATTTGCATGCTTCATGTAAACGCTCTCCCTACTGACTGGCATGGCTAGGTTCCAAAAACTAAGTCGTATTGTGAAATTGGCAATATGTGAAAATGGAGTATGATCACACCAGATCACTACATGGAAGATGACATCATCATCAGAGAATCACAGCCCAGTCAAGTTGACACATAACCTTAACCACCACAGGCAGAGGGAAGCTCGCCACACATGTCATCTTTTACTACTGTCTCACGTACGTCGCCAAGGTAGAAAGCTTACAAAGCAGCAGCATAGCCATTAAAAGGACAAAATTTCTAAGGACACAGATATTATGAAGAGTGCTAATGATATAACACTGAATACAAAAGCAAGATACAAGAGTGTAATAGTCTAATTTTATAAAACAGAAAATGTGAAATGATTGTATGTAAACCAATAAACAAAGAACAACTTAAAAAATGTAAATACTACCTCAGACTATTTAAAAAAAACCCACAAAAAAATCAGAAAATGTGGACGTACACATGCACATATACAGAGACAAGATCAACACAATGGAGGAGCGTAACACCAAAATGTTAACATCTCATGGTGATGAGATTATGAATGTTGTTGCTAAGTGCCGTCGAGTTGCTTGTGAATAGTTTTAAAATTTACTCTATCACCAAGTTTTCTACTGAGAATACATGAGTTTAAATAAAAAGCCTGTAAAATACCTCTCAGCCCTTTACTTATCACTCCCATGAACTATGTATTTACAGCAATATTCTAAGAATATTTATGAGGGTATATCCCTGACACTACAGACCTAAGCATAACTTTAAAAGAAATTAGTATCCTTCCTATTTGGGGAAAGTCTTCATTCTTTTTTTTTTATTTAAAAAAAATTTATACTGGTTTATTTACAAAACTGATATATGTGGTTTTTCACACCAGATCTTTCCCATTTCCTTTACCACCCCCATCAAATTGTGTGACCCTATGATTAACCAAGCCCCACCAACTATCCTCACCCCTCTGCTCCCTCCCCTCTTGGATCCCCATACTCATTCTACAATAATGGTCTTATATAGTATTATTATACAGTCCTTATGGGACTGAGTTCACTTAGCATAATACTCTCCAGTCCCTTCATTATTTATAACACTTTATTATATTTCCCTTTTATTTTTATTTATAAAGTATCCAGTTCACACAAAAATTAAAATCTGCACACTTCGTTGATTGCTTTTAAAATAATCTTGGCATTTCTTCATTTCAGGATTTTGAATTCCCTCTCAGCCTGCTACTTAATAGAATACTAAATATAATTTTTAAATGGTAGAGTGAAAATGGTAACAAAAATGATAAATACTCTGTGAAGTGGCTTAAATAGAGACTAGATTTAAATAAAAAAATGTACAAAAGATTTGACTGTAGAGAGTTGTCGGGTAGAACACATTAAAAATGTCCATAAAGAAAAAAAAAAAAAAAGTCCATAAAGCAAAGAATAAACTTAAGACTTTAAAAATGGTAATGAATAGTACTGGGGTGACAGAAAAGGAGAGCTCAGAAAAAAGATATTAAGACCAAAATAGTATACAAACTCCATCTTGTGAACACATAATAAAGAAGAATGAAATATAAATAACAAACATAAATAACAAAGACTTACGTACAGATCCTTGACATGGAGGTTTTAGCAATCAATAGTCATGTAACAAAGAATGTCAGTGAAAGAGTATAAAAGGGATTTAAAAAACTGGAACCACTGAACAGAGCAGTCCAAATAAACAGTAAACATAAAGCAGATTAGAAACTCAGAAGCCAAAAAAGTTTGAAAGAGCAAGGATAAATATTAGCTTACCTAATAGAACTTTGTTGGATAAAACACCCTACTTTATTTTCAAAACAGGGAAATGAATACTTGCTTAAGAAAATGACTATGAAGCCCAGACATTCCTGGTCTTGTAATATAATTAGTTACCTTTGCATTATGAAACCCATTAACAAAACAACATTTTATTAAAGATCATCACAGTTCCTAAAGCCTGTCTATTTGTTTCTCTTTGGTAAAAAGTAAATTAAATTCTATCAACAGTTCATCAACCATTTATATAGGCTGACTACCATGGTTGATTATATAAATTCCTTTACCCAGTAATTAGTTCTGAGACCTTTTCTCTTTTAGTCTATAATCCACTTGAAAATGTAATACTTGATGCTAAGGGTAAAAATAGGAAACCTGGAGATTTTATTTAAGATTAAAAACAAGACAATATGGCTGAAATATTTTACCACTGAAATCGTCCCTCTTAAGCTCTCCCTGAGAACTTCAGCAGCAGAGTAACGGTTTGAAACCACTAGACTCTGTATAAGAGAGAGATGTGATCATCAGCTTTTATAATGATATAAAAGTCTTGGAAACACCATGGGGCAGTTTTATTCTGTTCTATATGGTCACCATGAGTCAGAATTGACCTGATGGCTCTGAGTTCAGGGTTTTTTGGGGGTTTTTTGAAAACAGTTCAGTTTTTTTTTAAGCACACCCTAGGTAATGCAAGTGTTCAAGCACTTGACTGCTAGCCAAAAGGTTCCAGGTCTGAACACAGCCAGAGGTGCCTTAGAAGACAGACCTGGTAATCTGCTTCCAAAAGTTTTCAGCCTTGAACATTCTATGGAGCAGTTCTACTGCAGTTCTTCAGTCAGCACTGACTTGATTATAATCAACAAGAACCACTCCTTGTCTTACTTACATTTCTAAATCATCACTATCTAACATGCCTTTGTACCTTCAAAAATCTTGCATTAAAACCTTTTCAAACAAGTTCTTTATTGTCTGATTCACTGCTAACCTTGCAGCTTTTAGTACAGTTACAGGAGTTCCATTAATATTTGCCAAATGAATGAATGAACAATCTTATGCTATAAAAAAAGGAAAATTCTTAAAAATAGTTTACCCACATCAGTATGACTAACAATTAACACATTTAACATTAAACATTAAAAATATGAAGAAACTGATGAATAATCTATTCCAACAGAAAATCTCAACCATTTCTGGAAAACACAACATTTTGGTGGCCTAATGAATAAGAGGAGATGTGTGTCATCAGAATTAGAGGTAAACTCATCAACAATCTGTGTTATGAAGATGACACAACCCTGCTTGCTGAAACTTAGAAGGACCTGAAGCGCTTGCTGCAGAAGTTCAAGGACTTCGGCCTTCAATATGGATTGAAGCTCAACATCAAGAAAACAAAGATTCTCACCAATGAGCCGATTGGCAGCATCAGTACGGATGGTGAAGAGATTGAGAGTGTTGAGCATCAGTTTGCTTGGCTTTACAAACAACACTTTTCATACTAACAGCCAGGAAATTAAAAGATGTATTGCACTGGGAAAGTCTGTTGTCAGGGTCCTCTCCAAAGTACTGAAGAGCAAAAACGTCAGTCTGGATACTATGGTGCGCCTGACACAGTCTGCAATTACTTGCTATGCATCAGAGAGTTGGACAGTCACTACAGATGACAGAAGGAGAGTTGACACCTTTGAGCTGTGGTGCTAGAATATTGAATATACCATCATGGACTGCTAGAAGAACAAACAGGTTTATCCTGGAGAGGGTGAAACCAGGCTCCTCCTTGGAGGCAAGGATTCTGAAGCTTCATCTGACATACTCTGGACATGTTACAAGGAGGGACCAGTCCTTGGAGAGGAGCATCATGCTTGGGAGGGTGCAGGGACAGTGCAAGAGAGGAAGACCCTAGATGAGATGAACTGATTTATTGACTGGCGTAATGGGGATAGGTGTATTGGAGACAATAAGATTGGCAAGGGATAGAGCAGGGTTTAGGGCTCTTGTACATAGGGTCGCTATGAGTCACAGGCAACTCAATGGAACATATAACAACAACACAACAATGAGTAGGAAGTGCTGCCAACCCAAAAGCAGGCAATTTGAGTGAACCAGTTGCTCCGTAGGACAAAGACAGGTAATCTCCTCTGTGCATTTTACACACTCTGAAAGCTCACTAACGGGTCACAGCTATGTATCAGTTTTGACTTGATAACACATAACATTTATATCAGAACCTTCCACAATGGGTTTGAGAACCTGGGGAAAGCCTGAACCTCAACAGTGGTCAACACCTCTTAGCACATTTTTTTAAGTAAACTGTTTACAAAGCAGGGTCAATTCTTCAAAGAGTTAAACTTTCAAACTGATTAGAGTAACATTTTCAGTTATTAATTATTTGCTTTTGCTTTCTAAACTGACTTCTTCCTTAAGACTTCCAACATAAACATTTCCACTATCTAGAAGATAGGACTATTTCTTCTGAATACAAAACTCTTTTGTCTTTCTAGTGAATCACCCTTTACATTGTCTTCAGTATAGTTGAGACAATCTATTTGAATAAGGAAATTCAAATAAAGTGTTATTTTGTTTTTTAAACCCACATTTCTTAGCTGTATCTTGTTCCTTTCCCAAACACCTGAAATAATATTGGCATGGCTACATTTCCAGTCTTCCAAAAGGTATATATGAGTGATATCCAATAAAAGAGCATGAAAGAGAACTATGACAGGAATCTTGTAAGACCAATGAGTTAAGAACTGGGATGCAAACCAAAAAGACTGGTTGTTTGAACCCACCAGTTGTCCTGTAAGATAAAAATAAGGTAGTCCGCACCTGTAAAGATTTACATCTTTACTTTGCCATCCAGATCATCCCCAACATGCTTGAGTGATTGCCACAGTCACTATATCAATCCATCTCACTAAGGGTCTTTCCTTCACTCACCCTCTAACTTTCCAACCATGATGGCCGTTTTCCAAGGAACAGCCTCTACTAACAACATGCCCAAAGTATTTGAGACAAAACTTCACTGTCTTTGCCTCCAGAAGCACTCTGGTTTCACCTTTGCTAAGACATACCTATTTGTTCTTTTGGCAGTCCATGGATATTCAGTACTCTACCACAACACAAAGGAAAACATTTTCTTCTGTCATCTTTATTCATTGTCCAGCTGTCAGATGCACAGGTGACCGGAAAGACCATGGTTTGAATCAGGCACACTTTCCTCCCCTCCCCCAATCTATAAACTGGTTGTTGTTATTGTTGTTAGGTGCAACTGATTGTGGATCCAAGTAAAATGGACAATTTCAATCTTTTCTTCATATATCATGATGTTTCCAACTGGCCTAGTGGTAAGGACCTTTGTTTTCTTGATGATGAGATGTAAACCATTTTCAAAACTGTAGTCTTAGGTTCTTGAAGCATGCCTTTACTTTTAGCAAGCAAGGTTGTAGCATATGCATAACAAAAGCTGTTGACAAGTCTTCCTCTGATTCTGATGCCACATTCTTATTTGTAGAGTCTAGCTTTGTGAATTATTTGCTCAGCATACACACTGAATTGTTAAGGCGAAAAGAAGCACATCCTTCCTGATATAAAACCAAGCTGTGTTTCCTTGCTCCTTTCAGACAACAGTTTCTTGATCTAGTTATAGATTTCTCACAAGCACAATTAAGTATGCTCCCATTCTTCTCTATGTTAGCCATAGTTTATTATGATCCGCACAAAGACCTTTGCACAGTCAATAAAACACAGAGAGACATCCCTCTCACGGCACAGAGATGCCTCTACTACTGATAAAGGTATACTTGAAAGCAAAAAGACTAGAAAGAAAATAGTAATTACTTTAAATAAATCAAAGTTGGAAATTTTGACTGAGACCTGTGAGTGGAAATTTTAAATTGTAAATAAAACTTGTTGTTGTTATATATTACCAAGTCAAGTGACTCATAACTGATGCTCCAGTGGATTTTCAAAGGCAGTAAATCACATGGGAGGAGTGTGCCCATCTTTCTCCAGTGAAGCTGCTGGTGGGTTTAAACAGCTTACCTTTGGGTTGCCATTGTTGTTGTTGTTGTTACGTGCTGTCGAGTCACTTGCGACTCACAATGACCCTCTGTACAACAGCTCTGAGCGTGCTCTTCCCTGAGGCAACCTCATCGTCTCTGACACATCTACAGCCATCCCCCTAGTCAATGTATCTCATGCAGGGTTTTCTTCTCTGGCACTGTACCTCCACCGTTCCAAACATGACAGCCCTCTACAAGGACTGGTCCTAAGAGTAAACCCTAAACCAAAACCAATGCCACTGAGTTGGTTATGACTCACAAAAACTCTGTTTCCAAAACTAAATTTTTACAGAAGGAGATGGCCCATCTTTCTCCTGTGGAAAGACTAGTAGAGTCCAACTGTCAACCTTTCACTTTTGCTAAAAGGACTTGTTATAAAAGGGAGAGGAGGAGGGCAATACACACAGCACTGCAAGTCCTTCTCTTAATCCATACATACCTGTTTTTCTTTCTTTTGGTACATGTTATCACTGTAAAGTCTCATATTTTGACCTTGACATATATCAATATTCTGACATATTTCAGAAACATATTTAAATGAACATTTCCAGAAAGCCAAAAGGAAAATGGCAGTTTTCATTCTTTCAGCTTATTAAAAATGACATTAATAGTACAACCAGGAACACACAGATACAAAAATATTCCTCCACATATATGCATCCTAAGGAATGATGAATAATATAATAACTAGCTTAGCACAGTGTTTATTAAAATAAAAAATTCAAATACTAAAGATCACAAAGTAGTGATGAGGAAAACAGGTGTTACCATCACATATTACAGATAACTGATTCCATCTGCATTTTATCCCTTTACCAATAGTACTGCAGCAAGTATCAATGAAGAGGCAAGTACTGAAATTTTTGCAACCATGTGGCTAAGGAAATAATCTACAAGAAGAAACATCATACTTTTAAGAACCTTTGCCTTAACTTATTTGAATCAAAAGGCAAAATTTCACCTTTCTTTATAATCTTAATTACCCCCACTGATACTCTACTTAGCGTCTGAAAATTCTAGTGGCTCAGAGCCCCTTCCATTCTGGGTACCCAGACTCTTACTTCAGAATTCCATTTCAATGCCTTATCAATGCCTGGCTCCTTTCTACTATTTTTCTTTGAGCTGCCTTAAGAAGATCACAGATGTACGAATTTAAAGGATATTTTCAAATGAGAAAACAAGCAAGTGCCCTCAACTTGTCCAAGACTCCCAAGTTGGTTAGTGGTTAAGATAAAAAAGTAAGTTACAGAATTGCTGATTATTAATTCAAACTTTTTCCTTCCAACTTACCATATTTCCCACTAATATCCTCCTCTCCTTCATTCCGTATTGGCCATTTTTAACACTTACTTGTTAATAAAATACTTGCATTTATCGAAGATTAAGGAACCCCCCCCCCCCTAAACAAGTAACTGTTTTCAATTCTTATCATAGTTAAGCAGTGGTGCTCTAGAAGAGCTGCTGAACACTCCACTCGTCATTCACTCACTCAAGAGAAGAATGTGCTTACTTGTTATTGGTTGGTCCTGTTGCCAACACATCGGATTGTAACTTTGGAAAGAACCCTCGCTCATATTTGCCTTGACCAATTTTCATATCAAGTAGATGTGGGTGAATTGCTGTATGATCCATTTTCATCAGTCGCTGCTCAATTGATTGGGCTAAAATTAAATTTATAACAAATTAGAGAAATTTCATTGGCTAAACCTCCAAAAACAATGCTTTCTCTGCTCACACACCTATCAGAGACTCAGTCTTTCTGACAACTTGAACAGATTTTTCACACCGTACTTCAGACATCAGTAACTGTAAAATGGTCGATTATATGTAAATAAATACTAGATGATTCATTTTCACATCATTTTCTGTCTTTGTTAAAAGCTGGCAAACAGGTTTGAGAAGTCTGCCATTTAATACTGACATAGTTCCATTTAAGGAGGAAATTCTATTTTCTTAAATATGATTCCAAGTATAGTAGTAAAAAAATTGGTGCCAACTGAAATATTTTCAAGGAGCTGAAAGACTATGTGAAAGGAGGAAGAAGCAAGTACAGCAGTCTTATGGCGTTATTTCTTTCTGCAAAAGTCAATTAAACATTCTTGTTCCTCCATTTATAAAAATAAAAAACTGTGAAGCATATTACCTCATTTTTAACAACAGTCACATTCTCATTAGTAAGTATCACTTTGGAGTGTTTTTTAAATCAAAAGGGACATTGCAAAGAAAAAGAAAATATGCAAGCAGTTAGAAAAATGGCCAGAGAATAAGTAGCTGGCCTTTTAAAGAGTGAAATAAAGTTAAAAGAGATGAATTGGTCAATATTTTTATTTTTTTTAAATCTATTTTTATTTATTTTTAAATTTGGTATACCGTCGAATTGGATCCGACTGGTACAGGAGGAGATTGTTCCTCCTTCTCCAGTGGAGCATCTGGTGGATTCGAACCACCCACCTTTGGGATTGCAGTGCAGTGTCCAACCACTAGGCCACCAGAGCTCCCTCAATACTCTTATTTCAAAATTAATTCAGAATGCTGGAAAACACCTTAAAGTCTCAAGAAATAAGTCTTTCTTTTATTTAAAAGAAAAGTTAGCTTGACTGATTCACACAGTTGAATTTGCAAGAGAAAATGAATAGTTGTGAAGATTAGGCCTTCAGTCCTTGGCCTAGAGATTACAGAAAGAAAAACAAGCAGTGGTGATAGGTGATAGTCGTGTTATACATAAAGCACAATGTGGGTACTGAGAACTTGTGAGTTCAGAAATGAACACATTTCTAGAAATACTTCAAAGGGGCCACCAGCGGTTCAGTGGGAGCACTCTCATTTTCTACATGGGAGACGCAGGTTCAATCCTCAGGCCCTGTGCCTCACACACAGTCATCTGTCAGTAGAGATCTGCTCTCCCAGGGTTGTTAGGAGTCAGAAGTGATCTGATGACACATCATAACAACAACAACAGGATGTCGAATAGGTTATAGTGCAGCCTCCAGGTTATGATGGCCTGGAAGAAAGATCTGGTAATCTATTTCTGAAAATCAGCCAATGGAAACCTTATATATCACAATGGTCCAAGTGACAGTTAATCATGAGATGGTACCATAATGGGCAGCGTTTCCATTCACTGTGCATGGGGCTGCCATGAGTCACAGGAAGACAGCTCAATGGCAGCATTTCAGCAAATCTATTAATTTTGTCCCTTTTCAATACTAGTTGTAATGCTCTTTATTCCCCTAAAACATTTACCATCTCCACAAGGAGGGGTGTGTCTGCCCATGACATTTAGTCATCTCTCACTTAAAGAACAGGCTTACTAATATCATATGCCATATTAATGCTTCATCTAACCTGTGTTTAAATGGGAATATTTCCCCTGAGAACTCATATGAATTTATCTAAAAAAATTCACTTAATTTTTACACATGCAACTTTTCTGGAAGCATACATAGTCCATATGTTCACTGCTGGGCAAAAAGATGTCATGTTTTCATGTGAAATTACATTGGATTTAAGAGCTTTTAACAGACGCCCCCTTTGTTCTAGCTATACTCTATATGCTTCCTAATACTTTAAAAATATAATTAACAGATGGTTCAGGCAAAACAATGTGTGAATTCACAATACAGAATTCTCTGAAGTTCCTGCTAATTTTATGTACCAAGAAATACTACAAAACGCTCGCTCACTGTCAATGAGTGCTTCTGCTCTCACTACCAAAAAAAGAGCTTTGGTTTTTCTGTTGAATTAAAAATGACAGATCCATTAGGTACTGAGTTTTTCTCATCAGGTTGGAAGCTCTTAAAAGCAAACAAAAACCATGACTCACAATCTTTTACTCTACAGTTTACATTTAAAAGTGTCATAGGAAATAGAATGCAATGTGACTTTTCCATTATATCTCCAGTGAATAATGAACATTCTGAAATTTTTAAATGCTTGGTTTAAGAGGACCAAAGGCATATTACAGCTAAATTTTAAGGCTTTATATCTATTTCCTTTGATTTGAAAGAAGAAAAATAAAACCCCTGTGAATTCTTAATAACCTTTTTTGCACAGAAATCACAAGGTCCCGGTGCCACAAATAGCCTCTACCTGAAGAGGTGACTTGTGAATGAAGCTCTTTTTGGTCACAGGCAAAACAAATAAAAAACAAAGCAACTAAAGTCAAATCAAGCACATACTGTGAAAATTCAGTATCAACAACAAAAATCAATCCCTATAGGTTAACGAGGAACACTTACTCAATACTTGCATCATTCAAGAGTGACAGGTGTGGTTACTATCTCTATAGCCTTTGCCTGTATTTTAAAAATGTTTTTGATGATTTGAGTACAATTTCATTTTCCAACATGTTAAATCTACATGGTATATATTTAAAATGATATTATGATGACAGTGGTAGTGCCAAACCCTGAGAAGTGGAAAGAAAATCTATTTAAACTGGAAAGATTCTGTTGTTTTATATACAGAAAGAAATCAGTGTTTAACTCCATTTATAAATTGTAAGAGAGAAGTGGAATTTGTTCAACCAGTTATTATACTATATAAACTGCTATTAAAGGACTGGATGACATACCACTCTGTGAACAAGCATAGCCACGCCTCTCATTTAACTCTCTAAACACCAGGAACACAGAGGCAAGGTAAATGCCATTTCCAAGAACAGAATCAATCAATCTCAATCTCTCTCTCTCTCTCTCACACACACACACACACAGAGAGGATCAAGGCAAAGTTTAAGCATTATCATATTTCTATGGGTATATAAACGGCCTTATTTTCTCCTTAAACATGTTCAAACTACAGCATCATCATACCTGTGGCTTTTATCAATTTAAGGGGGAATGGCAAGCAAGCAATAGAGGCAGGCAAAGAAGCTTTATTTGCTGCCTTCTTTTTTCCCAAGGAATGACTGCTTTGTAACTTAATTTTTTTTGGGGGGGGATCATAGTTTTGTGATTTACTTTTACGGTCTTTTTAAAATTTGATTCAAAGTTTACAAATCATATTGTCTTTCATTCAGTCATTTAAACACATATTGTTTTATAACAGTAACTATAATTCACTATGGTAATTAATGACATGTGCCTCAAAGCTGTAGGAACAAGTGTTCTTAGATAATGCCTTCAACCAAAGAGCAAACAGGAGGAGATGCATAGTAATAGATTAGTGTATTCATTAATGAAAATGTTAACAGCCAGCCATACATTTATAAAATGGTGGGGACTGGTGTATTTTACATGTTTCTGTGAATGAACTGATAATGTGATATTAAGGGTTCAGGAGCTTGAATCAGATCTGGGTTCAAATCATGACCACTAATTATAACTGCTATGATTCAGCTATAGATGAATTACTTAACCACTTAATTCACTAAACTGCAAAACCTAGAGAGAAATAATATCGTCTGACATACTCTGGGCATGTTGCAAGGAGGGACTGGTCCTTGGAGAGGGACATCATGTTTGGCAGAGTGGAGGGACGGTGCAGGAGAGGAAGACCCTCGATGAGATGGATCGATTCTGTGACTGGAGTGGTGGGAATGAGTGTGTTTGAGACGGCAAGTTTGGCACAGGATAGAACGGCATTTAGAGCTCTTGTACATAGGGTCGCTATGAGTCACAAGCGACTCGATGGCCCATAACAACAACACTTTATTGTTAAGATCAAATGTTAAAATACATATTAAAAAACACTTGACATAGTGTCTGGCACACAGTAAATATTGACTAAATGTTGACTATTTAAGATAGCTACTTACACTGTCAGATGTGATTTCGCAAGACCCACAAAATTCTGTGATAGAGGGGAAAACTGATGTCAGGATAGAGGGAAACATTCCTTGGCTTGAACAGAAGGACTCAGGGTTTTAACTTAATTAAAAGAAACTATTATAATTAATGGCATCTGTAGTGTCAAAGGTTTACTGTTCAAAGCATCTTTCCTAGCTATTGATTTTGCAATGATTTTATTGTATTAAGGAGAAAGGATTAGAGTTGGTTTCATGTCCCTTTCTACCTACTAGAGTCTTATACAAGTTCATGAGACCTCAATGCTAGGTTGGGTTTTTTTACTTTGTTTTATTTTGTGGTTGTTGTTTTTTTTGTTTGTTTGGTTTGTATTTTTTTATGGGGATGCCCACTCTCGTGGGACATAGCATGCAGCTGCACCGTTCACCAATCTGCAATACCAGCCTGCATACCACACTCTGTGAGTCATTCCTCTCGCAGGCCTGAGTCTCTCTAAGACCTTCCAGCAAACCAACAAACCCAAGAGACATACTGTAATGAGGGAAGTGAAAGGAGAAAGGACAGCTGATGTTGGAAATTAGGGAGTTTTACAGTAGATCAAATGTTTGCGACACTGTTGACTCTATACTTAATTGAAACTGGTCTGCTACGAATCTTAGCAGAATGAATTATGACTGTGGCACCACTAAAATAAATTTTTTATATACATTTAGCATCATTTCAAACCTAACTATTTAAATATCTTTTAGATAAAAAAGTGAGATGTAAAAAAGGCAACATAGTAACAAGATTGAAATTAACATTATTCCCATTAAGTCAATAAAGAGAACAAGACAAGCTTTTAATTATACTCTATTCAGCTTGTTTTCTCTCTCCTTAGTAAAGACGGGAGATCATACATAAAGAAGGTTGTGTAGTTAATGTAGTTGGCTGTTAACTGAAGGTTGGATTTCCATCGACTCAGAGGCACATTGGAATAAAGGCTTAGTGATCTACTTACTTCCCCCCCAAACCAGCCATTAAAAATCTATGGAGTACAGTTCTACTCTGATAAACACAGCGTCATCATGAATTGGAGGTGACACTACGGCAACTGGTTTTTTAAATTAAGAAAGAGGAAAATTTTTTTTAAAAAAGAAAGGGAAATCAAGTAGGTATGGGATGGACATTAAGCCCAGAAAGAGAAGGAAAAGGAACTATAAAAAAGAAGTCTTAATACAGGGCTATTATTAACCATGAAGTCTAAAATGGAAACCAGATTTTCAAGTATATATAAAACCAACAAGAAAGACTGCAAGGAAATGATAGTGGATTTTAATTTCACTTAAAAAAAACCAAAACAAAACATGCGAATGTACCTGCTTCTTTCAAAGTGCTGCATTTCTGATATATAGATGTCCGCATGGTGGGTGCCCTGACGTTATACAATCTTATCTTCTCAATACGAGAGTCAAAGACCCGAAGCAAAGGATCTTTCTCTTCCCACTGAGATATAATCTTATTATCAATAAAGGTGGCAAACATCTGTGTTTCAATGAAGCGTGAAAGAAACGGTAGGTAAGGCTCAGGCTGGTCAGACAGAAAGGAAGCCTGTAATGAGACAATGAGCAAAGTATTAGCACAAAGAGACTTTGTCAACACTATGGGATGATCCTATAAGTATCTGTTGCTAAGGTTATTTTTTCCCCTTTCATCTTTTAATCTTCTAAAACAAAACTGACCCTTGACATTGGGGGAAAAAAACTTTGCTTTTTCTTCTAAATTCATAGCACTTAAGTCACTCAGGTCTGGCACTGATCCTAACTTTTTAAAACTTGATTTACATTCTGTTCTTGCTATTATGTAGAAAAGTGAGCATCATGGATGATAGATGGTGGCTAGGTTGCTACATGATCATCAATCATCCACTTCACTTACCATTAAATCTGATCTCTTTCCCCAGTGAGCTGTAATTCTTCCACCCTCTACCTTTAGCTTACTACTGTGTATCTCCAAGCCATAGGCAGTGAGATGATTTAACTTGATACAATGATGATACAATCATTAGCAATAACTTTGAACAAACAAGCATGGAATTTGTGCTTAGGGGTGAAATCTTTTTGCTCTTTTTCCAATCAGGCATTTTCTAAGCCCCGACTCTTTTTAGAAGCTGATGAGCACATGTTTAGTGAAGATCAAACTCTTCCCAGATCTGTGTGACACTATAGTGTGGACTTCAATAACTAAAAAGAGCATTTCCTGAGAAGCCTTTAGAAAACACGTACAACAAGCAAGTTGTATTTTCTGTTACCTAGTTGTTTGTGCAGGGAATGGTTCAGTAAATTGCAGTAAAAAAAAACGTTAATTTCTTTCCATCGTTCTCCTGGCCTATATTTGCATGTTAGTGCTGTTACGTGCCATCAAGTCACCTGCAACTAACAGTGATGCTATGCACAACAGCTCTGAACCCTGCTCCATCCAGAGCGAACCTTATTGCCTCTGACACACCTACCCTCATTACCCCAGTCACTGAGTCAATCCATCTCATCGAGGGTCTTCCTCTCTTGAGCTGTCCCGCCACACAACATGCCCAAAGAATGTCAGACGGAGCTTCAGAATCCTTGCGTCCAAGGAGTAGCCTGGTTTCACCCTCTCCAGAACAATCTGTTTGTGCTCCTAGCAGTCCATGGCATATTCACTACTCTTCTCCAGCACCATAGCTGAAAGGCATCAAGTCTCCTTCTATCATCCCTAGTCATTGTCCAATTTTCTGATGTATAGCACATAATTTAGAAGACCATGGCCTTGATCAGCCACACTTTATCTCTAGACTGAGTGCTCTTCAGCACTCTGGAGAGGTCCCCAACAGCAGACATTCCCAATGCAATTTGACTTTTAATTTCCTGGCTGCTGGTACCAAGAGTGTTGATTGTGAAGCCAAACAAACTAAAACTGCTAACAATCTTAATCTCTTCACTGACAATCGGCCTAGTGGGGAGAATCTTTGTTTTCTTGATAATCCATATTGAAGGCTGCAGTCCTTGACCTTCTGCAGCAAGTGCTTCAAGTCCTCCTCAGTTTCAGCAAGCAAGGTTGTGTTTGAATCTCAGTTTGGTTCTGGCTAAAATCTGCACATGAAGTGTGATTTTGGGTACTGGGTTGGTCTTGCTTTTTATTCTTTTGACTTGAATCAGTGTAGCAGGGGTCATAGGGGAAAGATGGAAAGGTGAGATGTGATATAAAACTATTCTTAACACTCATCAGCTTCTACCCAGTATATTTTTTTCTATTTGAAAAATCTAGAGGTATTTTTTACTTCCTTACAAAAACTGACTTAATAATTCTAAGGGCTTCCATAATTCAGACAGATTTACATAAATTCAAAAGTTTATCGTAGTCTCAGAAAGGTACGTTATTTCTTCAATGAAGATTTTTACAGATTATTATTAATTATTAATCACACTTTTTATAGAGGAAAAGAGACTACCACCCAGGCGCCACTTGTCCTCTCCACCCCTCACCACTGTTTCAATGAGTACAGTGTCTGGCTTTTTTGTATTTAGACCCTTACATACTCTTTAACATACAGAAGTTGACTGGACAATAGTGGACAGTGGGTATGACCTGTATCATTTAAGGTCAGCAAAGATTTGGCCTGCAAGAGTAGTAGTATATGAAAGTTCTGCAAATTTTTCTAGTAAAAAAAGATGATGATTACAATTCTTCTGGAGTCCAACATGAAACTTTCATTTCTTTAGGGATTACATAAAAAAGAATTCCATTTATAGTTTGGAGCTACATGAAGATTTAAGAAGGAAGAAAGTACCAGTTCTTAATTTAGATAAGAATTTGAATTGCCCAAAGGATAATTCAGAAGTGTATATAGATTAGTTCCAAACTAGAGAGAAAGTAATATGGAAAATGGTTAAGTTTAATGAGAAAGGAACCTAAGCAAAGGACTACATTTGGAGAAATGAGAGGATTTTTAATCTATGAAAGACATTTTCTCAAACATAAAGTTCATTAGAACTTAATTGTTTAATACGCTTGGTCAGAGAAAAGTATCGTATGAAATCAGAAATTCTTTTACACTGTCAATCTTTACACAATTTTTATGTAACTGTTATTTGTAAGATGTTACAGGATTGCCTGGTTGTAGAGTAGGCTTCTGGAATGTTTTGGTTCCCTGGGTAGGCCTTTCATGACACATAGATACTGCTTAGCAAAAAGCCATATATTTGTTCTAACAGCAATGTCCTGGCATGGCTAGTGGAGAGGCCGCGGACTGAACTGTACCCTGGTGACTTCAAAGAATTAATGCAAAAAAAAAAAAAAAGAATTAATGCACAACTCTAAGTGCTTTTAGCTGAAGAACAAATCTGAGAATGTATCAAGAAAGCCAGACACAAACATGTCTGTTCCCTTCTGAAAGAATATTCTAAAGTAAAGCTTACACAGAAGCTTCAGCTTTAGCAGATCAAAAGCAAGTATGTCACTTTAAGGCACACCCGACCCAAATAAATAATATTTTCAGTTGCTTCATGTGCATGTCAAGGTTAGATAATGAAGGGTCCGATTATAACAATTTATATACAGTGTCAGAATGTCAGCATGAGTAAAAAATAACTTAATAACATTGGGAATTTTTGTTTTAGTCGAGTATACACTACATAAAGCATTCAAGATGTAACAAGGTCACAAAATTGCTGAAAGTAAAGATAAAAGTAAAAGGGAAAAAAAGTTGGGATTGTTTCTCTTCCCTCACCTCAAACTTCAGAACAAGGCTATGGAACCTAATTTATAAGATAAAGACAAGCTATAAGAATCTACTAGAAAAGGAACAGGCCTCATTTCACTAGCCTGATTATATATAAAATAAGAGTAAATAAAATCCTTACAAGGCCAGGTAGTGTTAGCCAATTTGAAAAACCTGGGTAATTTAGGAGTTTCTATAATTCAGGAAAATTTAAAAAGTAAATTATAGGCAATTAAGCAACCAGGTTTAAGAGTAAGATGATTTCTTTTCTTATAAAATTATTTTATCTAGCAAAAAAAAAATACTGATAAAGAAAATTCCTTAAGGGAAAGGAGAAATCAATGCTTCAAAAAAAGTTAACAAAATCAGTAATAGAGGCCATTGCTGCTGTTTGCCATTGAGTCAGAACTGACCTTTATCTGACCCTCTGGCGGGTTTTCAGAGGCAGTAAATTGCACAGAGGGAGACTGTCCATCCTTCTCCCACAAAGCATCTGGTGGATTTGAACCTCATGCCTTTGGGATGGCAGCATAGCTTCTTACCTAGTGGTAGCATCTCACTAGTGGTAAGGAAATGCACAGGCAATCCAAACCTATACACAGTTTGAATCGACCACAGAAGAGAGGTGGACAATCTCTCATGCGATTCACTGCCTTTAAAAACCTGCTGGAGGTTCAGCTATGAATTGGTTCCAATTCAATGTTATACAACAACAAGAAGAACATCCAAACAAGAAAGAAAATGATAGTTCTTTTTACTTTGTCAAAGTTCTGCATCTGTTCCCGATTAGTCAGCCAGGATTCCATATCCTGGGCCGTCTGAATCACAAATGCTTCATAATCCGCAAACATCTGTGTAAAGCGGTTAGCAAAGACTTCACGGAGCTGAACATTGAGCTTGTAGTCCCTCAGTTCAGCCTCTTCACATTGCAACTTTAAATCTTTTTCTTTCTCTCCCAGAGATGCAGAGAGGTCCATTTTTTCCACAGTCACACCAGTCCTCTTAGCTAGAGCCTGGAGTCGGGCTATAGTTTCATTGCCCTTAAGTAACTCATACATGCTGATGTTATTAGTGGAGACATTCCCATTCTTTTTGTCATTGACCAAGTCCTTCAAAACTAGATTCTTCAGCTTGGTGGCACTCTCGCTGCCGTGTAGGCTGCCCTCAGGAGGGATCCCAAACTGAAGAAGAACTTCAGAGAGTTCCTGGATGAAATCCACCTTATTGGGGAACTGTGGAAATTCTTCAGGCAGTTCAATAAAATGGTTGTCAATATCTACAAAACACAAATTAGCCTGAGAGAGAAAAAAGGAAACAAACACAAAGGTTATTTAATTGTATGTTCTAAAATATTCTGCCATTATAAACAAAAAACACAGATTATAGTGTCTTTTTATGTTAACCATCTCAAGGTTCAGAATATTTTTCTTTCTTAAAACCAAATATTTTTACCAGTTATTTCCCCTAGAATATCAAGTTATTTTTGTTTTTAATACCAAATTATTATGCAGATAAACCCGTGAGAGCTGGAACTCCTTTGGGTGTTTTTTTTTCCTGAATCTCACAAGTAAGTTTTCAAACTCTAGCATGGTTTTTTCACTTCTCTTCTGTTGCTCCTTTTAGTGGAAAATATTTGAGTTTTCCTTTCTGACAAGTTTCTACTTCTAAATAAATTGCAATGTTTACAGGTTTTACTGTATATAAGTTATCAGCAAATTAACACATTCTGTACACGAGTCTACAATATTTGTCATTCATTAAAACAAAAATTCAAATCAAAACCACTAAGCTGACTGTGGCTCATAGAGACCCTATAGGACAGAGTGCAACTATCCTATCGTATTTCCCAGGCTGTAACCTTTACAGAAGCAGACTGCAACATCTTTCTCTCATAGAAACAACTGGTGGGTTCAACCCCAACTATTTCTGTTAGCAGTGCAGCTCATCTGTTAAGTACTGGTAAATGAAGTAAAGGTGCCAAAAAGTCACAGCATCTTGCATATAGAAGGTTTTGAGTAAAGTATTCATTGAAGGAGTTTGAAATTTCTATCCCACTGTCCTAATACCATCTATGACTTAGAATTGACAATAATTGCTAAAATTTAGAAACTGCAGTATTCCAAAATGAGATGTAATTGGCAAGATCAATTCAATTCACAGATTTATCCATACATTTCCGTATTATCCAAAATTAGGCTGAACTGTCTATACAATAAAACCATTTCAGAGGACATTAAGCAAATAGCAGGAGACAGAGAAAGTGGTAAGTAGAGACAGTGCTTAGATAACTACAAATGACTAAGCTTTAAATAATTAAAGAGTTGTGAAAACGTGTCAAAAATCAAGAGGCAATTTTTGAGGTTTCTTTGCTTACACTCTAAATTTTCAATCAAAGATTTGACAGAGGGTTAAAAAAAACAAAACATCTGGTGCGAGTGTGGCAAGTGACCACTGGCACTCGGTAGAAATTTATGGCACCACTTTGGAAATAAAAGGTTTGGCGTAAGAAAAAACAAAACAAAACAAAACAAAAACCAGCCAACTGACACAAACCCTTTTAAAGTATTCCTTTTCTTTAATCATTTTTTATATTAATTTTAATGAAAATTT